ACATAACTGAGCGAATGACACTTAATGACAGTTGTCATAAACATGCATAAAACCTCCTTCATATTCATGACATGTGTCATGTCATGATTATGAAGGTGCCATGTCAGTCTTATGCACACCCCTTCAAGTAAAGTGTTACCATTTTTTTTTTCAACCTGACCCCTGCCAATAAACATAGCCATAACAGAAACCTCTACAAATCACTAGATCTAAGTAAAAACATGATTTAGCCTACCTGAGAACACTTGAAACTAGTCAGTTGTCATAACATTTCATTGCATAAGTGAGGATATTCGGTCCTTGTAAGGCTAAATACCTAAACAAGTACAAACACACACACATTGCCACACATCTCGTGCCACAAAAACCTGTCTGACTGTTACCTGCAGTGCCAGTAGCATGATTTGGATCCAGAGGTGTGGCTGACGGCTACACAGTGAGAAACAGGACTTCACGTACAGGCAGTAGTGTCCTTTCAGTGGACAGGAGAAGGACAGCTTAGCTACACAGCCACGATGTGAGTCTGGAGAACAAACACACACATAAACACATGAGCATGAATTGCTTATGAATTCCTTTGCCAGAAATGGAATCTATTTCCCCAAACCACAAAATATCCTAAAATAAACTCCCAGCAGCTAAACTGCTCCATCTTTTAATACAATAGTGTAGTCAGACTCCAAACCACTGCAGAAGAAACAAAACCAGACACTCATAATGTTTTAGGGCATTTTTAGACCTGTAGATCATTTGCTTTGTTCTGAAACAATGTTGCATTTAGTCGATCTTGGGCTGACTGCATGTTCATATATGCCACAATGAACCAAACTAAGGGAGAAAATGCAACAAGCCAGATGTCAAAACACCCTTAGAGAAATATGATTAAATATTGTCAAAATTATTTTGGAATTTTGTGACGGTCTTATTTGCAATCATTAAATTGTTCCACATATATACTTGCATTATATTGGCCTAGTCCACCTAGTCTCAGCCTCAGACAATGACAATGGATGGCATGGCAATGGATGGATGACTACCCATCTGATGCATTTGGTCATTTTACATGTTGGTCACATGGTTGGGAGGTTTATGTTATTTATTTATTTGGTTGTGCTATTTGAGCCTCTCAATCTCACCCTGCACTGTGGATATATTGGCATTCCCATTCGCCATTGTGAAGCCTATTTCGGTAAACCGCTACTCATAACTGTGTCGTTGTGTTCTGTCTATTGATTATACAAAACACTTCAAATCAATCTCTCTATAAACATCATTAATCATCCATTCTCTTTGGCCTTCATTGACACTATATGTGTGAGGGAGAAGAAGAGTGAAGTTAGTATTGTGTTGCGTTTATGTATTTGGGTTTGTATATGTGACCCTGCCAGTTTAGCATCAGCCTGAATGTCCCTCGACTCTCCATATGTGTTTATGAAACAACACTTGGAGCATAATTATGCTTTGGTTCTCATATTCTTTTTTTAATGTGACTCAGTGACATGTGGATTTTGCATCAACTGTTTAATGAAAAAAAAAACACAAGCACAAGCACACTCACATGTATTCAGCAGGTCGCCGACTGATCGATTACCATAAAGTTTCTCTGTGGGAGAGCTGTTGAATAATGTGAAGGGGAGGCAGAGACCCAGGCCGGTGCAGAGGAGATGTTAAAATAGCTTTGCATCTGGATACCAGAGCCAAGCTGCCCCTCAATCTGTCTGCCACCCTCAGCTGAACTATAGCGTGTCACATTCAGTGCACTAATAGATAATTAGTGGTGTTTAAAAAGGCAAGCATCACTCTAACTATTGTTCATACTAGTGTTGTCAAAAGACCCAGTATTTCGGTACCAAGTCGGTACTAAAAAAATGAAAACGTTACGGTACCAGGTTTTTTTAAGTACCGGTGGTACCGAGTACCCGGTCAACCCGGTTCTTGATGCGCTATCCTCTTCGGTGGTACCGAGTACCCGGTCAACCCGGTTCTTGATGCGCTATCCTCTTCGAGTGTTGCCAAGTCCGCGGGAATTGGGCTGCTTTAACACTGTTGCTGCGGGTTGTTTTTCATGTCCGCGGGTTGAAAACCGACCCCACTAACGTGATATTTAGCCCCTGGAATGCGAATTGTACCAGGGGAACCCCGCCAAAACATGCGTATTTTATTCTCGGAATGCGATTTTTAACGGGGGACCCCCTCGAAATGCAATTGGGCGGGTTTTGTTGTGAAAACCTGGCAACCTCTTCATAAAAGCAGTGGCGACCTCAAGAGGAGGAAACGCATCAAACTAATGCCGAGTTCACACTGCACGATTTTCAAACTCGTCGGATCGCCGTTGTTTTCACACTGCGTGACTATTTGCACATTCATGTCCAAATTAATTCCCACGTACAAAGTAACTTCTGGATGAGCGTTCTCCATCTGCACTACTCATAAATGCAAGGTATTTTTTAACGTGTTACTTTGTGGATTGCTCTAAGATTTGAAAGGTTACCTTCAATGACACAGTGCTCAGGTATGGGGATTTGCTTGAACATTTCTGCACAGAAGGTTTTGATTTCTTCCATGTTGTCTCTTAGGTGGATCCAGAGTCGATCTCCCTCCCGGGGATCTCCAGCCACCACCTTTTGCCCCTCACTGTTTGGAGATGTGTCAGGTAGAGTCTCTGTGAGTTTGTGGTTCTCCTGCAGGGCCGTGAGGGCAGAACCAGTCTCTGAAGTAGGAATGGCCTCACAGACATCGAGTTCTGCGCTCAGATCCACCCCTTCTCCCTCTGGACTGCTGTCAGAGTTAATGGATCGTGTGCGTACAGCGTGAAGAGCCAGACTCTTTGACCTGAACACGAGAGAACAGCACAGGTCAAAACACAAAAACTCAGTCAATTTATTTTAGGCTGTGAGTTATTAAAAAGTGCCATACTCTCTTAGAAGATGTACGTAGTATTCATATTTCTGCAGTGTTGAATTTTGCTAAATCAAATGTAAGACTTTAAGACATGCATAAATAAAATGAATACCATACGTATATAAAGAATGATGAGTGCTATTTAAAAACTTACACCATACATTCTACTATTCCTTTCCATGTGCAAACATAAAAATGTTTCATTCAAGTTTCAATCATTTATTACATGTTCAGTTGTTCATGCAATATACCACAATAAGCGTTATAATTAGAATAGCGAATAACAACAAGGCATATCAGTGCAGAGATTTGATTGACTATTTGGGTGGATAGCCATTTATCTATCGGAAGGTCTATTTCAGCTATTATAAACTTTTAATTTATTTCTAAATTCCCACAGGTCAGGCCCACCTGCTGAACCTCATCTCTCTGCGCTCGTCTCGCGCTGCCTGACCCAGACTGTGGCGTCTCTGAGGACCAGGAGAAGCACCCTCTTCCTCAGATTCCTCCACCTCATCGCCCATCTTCTGCTCGAAAGCCTGGATCTTCACCTGCAGGTGCTGGTTCTCAGCAAACATGTCAGAACCAGACTCAGCTTCACACGGCCTGGACAAATCCTGCACCTTCTCCTCCTCTCTGACGCACAAAGATAAAGGCCAAGTTCAGAATGGAATACAACTGCACTGCCTAGTGTATACTGAACAGTATGTACTGCTTACTTTATACCAGTATTTGAAATAGTATTGACAGTATGTAACACTTTATTTTACAATGACCTTGTAAACATATTTAATTACTATACTTACTATAGTAATAACAGTAAATTCTGCATAATTACAATCAAGTACATTAAACCCTAACACTACACTATAAAAAATATAATTTTAACTGTGAAAGACCCGTTAATTGGTTACTGGTAAGTTCCTTTACTATAAAAAAAAAACTGTAATAGATCTAACAGGAAGTTTAATGTAATTTTACAGTAAAATACTGTTAAATGTACAGTTTGTGGAAGTGAAAAAGAACAATAAGATTATAATTTCCAGTGTAAAACTGTAAACTAACATTTCCAAAATTCCCTGTTTGACACTGATATTATGTTTAAATAATTGGGTAACAGTTCATGTTATCAGTTATATATATTAGGGTTTTATGCTACAACTCATGTTGCTTAATTCATGTTTATTGCATTATTTTAGTGCCATGTGTGTTATAATTATGGTGTTTTGTATTTTTGTGTACTACACTGTGTACCTTTTACATACTGGTATTTACCTCAGCTTGAAAAGTTACTTGTAATGAACTTTAATTCTTCCTCCTATTAATATTAATACAGACCTGCCAACCTTGGAATTTTTTTTGAGTACCATCAGCGTGGGGGGTGGGGTGCTTGGATTGGGGGTAAACAGTAACTGTTTAGTTAATTTTTGCTATTTAGTTTTTTTTTATGCTATTTAAAAAAAAAAAACTCCAGT